GTAAACATCGCACGGAGCATTTGTTGTGTATAATTAGATGTTAACCCATATTGTGCGATAGCATTTTTCACTTCTTTTATCGTTTTCCAATCCAAAGGACTCCACTCTCGGTTCCCCTACGCATTAGCCGTCACCGGGTAAGCTCTGGGAACGTCATTAAGAGGCAAAATAACCCCGTCTAGCATAGCGTCCATCAAAGCCCCATCCAACCTGGCCTTGAACACTTCCAGGGATGGGGCATCCACAGCTTCCCTGGGCAAACTGTTCCAGTGCCTTACCACCCTCAAAGTGAATTTTTTCTTTCTAATGTTTAATCTAAACCTGCCCTCTTCCAGTTTGAAGCCATTGCCCCTCATCCTATCACTACATGACCTTGCAAAAAGTCCCTCTCCAGCTTTCTTGTAGGCCCTCTTCAGATACTGGAAAGCTGCTATAAGGTCTCCCCAGAGCCTTCTCTTCTCCAGGCTGAACAAGCTCAACTCTCTCAGCCTGTCCTCATAGGAGAGGTGCTCCAGCCCTCTGATCATCTTTGTGGCCCTCCTCTGGACCTGCTCCAGCAGGTCCACGTCCTTCTTATGTTGGGGACTCCAGAGCTGGATGCAGTACTGCAGGTGGGGGCTCACGAGAGCGGAGTAGGGGGCAGAATCACCTCCCTTGACCTGCTGGACACGCTTCTTTTGATGCAGCCCAGGATATGGTTGGCCTTCTGGGCTGCGATTGCACATTGCCAGGTCAATTACCATCATGGGCAAAACAGGCTCGACTTGGAGAAATTAATTTAATTTATTGCCAATCGTATCAGAGTAGGATAACGAGAAATTTGAAAAAAAATAAAAAACACCTTCCCTCCACCCCTCAGTTCTTCCCAGGGTCAACTTTACTCCCCACTTCTCTACCTCCTCCTCCTGAGTGGCACACATGAATGGGGAATGGGGGTTATGTCAGTTCATAATGCTTCATCGCTGTTGCTTCTTCCTCCTCACGCTCTTCGCCTTCTCCAGCGTGGTGTCCCTCCCACAGGATACAGTCCTTCACAGACTTGTCCAGCATGGGTCCTTCCCACGGGCTGCAGTTCTTCATGAACTGCTCCAGCATGGGCCCTTTCCATGGGGTACACTCCTTCAGGAATGAACTGCTCCAACATGGGTGCCCTGTGGGGTCACAGGTATGGCCAGAAGACCTGCTTCTGCATGGGCTCTCCACGGGGTCACTGCTTCCTTCAGGGCACATCCACCTGCTCTGGCATGTGGTCCTCCATGGGCTGCAGAGCAGATATCTGCTCCACTGTGGTCCTCTATGGGCTGCAGGGGGAACAACCTGCTTCACTACGGTCTTTACCATGGGCTGCAGGGGAATCTCTTCTCTGGCACCTGGTGCACCTCCTCCCCCTCCTTCTTCACTGACCTTGGTGTCTGTAAAGTTTTCTCTCACATTTTTTTTGCTCCTCTCTCCCAGCTGCTGTTGTGCAGCAGTTTTTACTTATGATCAAACATGGGTGCCGCCAGTGTTACTGATTGGCTCAGCTTTGACCAGTGGCGGATCTGTCTTGGACCCCGCTGGAACTGGCTCTGTCTTACATGGGGGCAGCTTCTAGCATCTTCTCACAGAAGCCACCCCTGCAGCCCCTCCTGCTACCAGAACCTTGCCATGTAAATCAAATACAGTGCAATAGGTCAGCAATCACTGCCGGCTTTCAGGCTTCATTGCTGACTTCTGATCAATCAAAGCCATGGAAGGAGCCACTTTCTTACTTTTTTTTTTGTCTTTTTTAACAGTTACATCGCAAATCAGCAGAAATTAGAAAGTATCAATGACAATGAAGTTGGATTTTATGTTGGACTTAAAAACCTGTGAGTATATGGGATAATTATATTTCTTTATTTCTCTTGCAGAAGCATTTACAGACTTCATGAGAGAGTAGGGCTATCTTTTTGCATTATAGAAGACAGCTGTAGAGCTTGCAGTTCAACCTAGTTGATATTTCATCCACATTCTTACTTTAAACATTATCATTATTCTTTCCATTGTATTTTAAATGAACTATTCTAAGTTTTATATACTTTCACAGGACTGTGGTGGATTCAGGCTTAAGGTTTGTGTCCCATCAGGCATTTGTGAAAAACATCAACCTACAATACATGTGAGTAAGGATAGCTTCTGTTTTCTAAGTTAAAACTGTCCAAACCTTGTTAATTCCCTTCTCTTCCTGTTTCCTTAATATAAAATGTTTTAACTTCTAATGGCCTCCTGTCATTAATGGGTGTGAAATAGGACATGTATGATTGGTAAATCATAAGAACATAATGTAGAATGGCAAAAAGACCCATCCAGCTCATTATCCTGTCTCTAACAGTGGTCGCTGGCTGTGTCTCTTTTAGTAAGTAGCGGAGCACAAAGGAGTGCATCTCTCTACTGAGTCATTTGGTGGTGGGAGTATCATGTCCACACTATATACGTCACACTCAGTGACATGGATTTGACTTTGGACTAGCTCTAGTCTGATTCAGTGGGCTGAACATGTTTTAGCAGCTAGAAGTGTATTTGGTCCATGCATGGAGCACATCTTCTAATGCAGTTTGACTAGTTTACATGCCCCAAGATTCTACCATGCCTGTGAACTTAAGTCTTAAGTGAGGACGATCAGAAGATTCACTTCAGCTCAATTCTGAGTTGAACTGATGCACGCAAAGTAGAATATAAGAATGCAGTTATTTTCCCACCTAATTGCACTTTGCAGTTCATGAATTTCAGGAAACAGATTTGGTGCCTGTGCAGCTTTTTGACTGTGTTTTTCTAGATTACTTTAGTTTAGATTTAGCAATGTACAGAGAAAAATGATCAGTTATAAAGAAAGATTTTGTGGGTTTTTAGTTTAAATACAAATCCCTGAAAGACTGGAGTACCTTTCAGTGATACAGACATAGAGTAATTAATTCCTGCTACTTATATGGAAAATTGTGGTTCTAGTCCTACAAAACATTGAGATCTTGTGTGGGGCTCACTGTTTTAGCAAAGTATTCAAGTGTGTGTTTAAGTCCATCCATCTTTGTTAGATATATTTATCACTTAATTAAACCCTTGCTTTTATTAAAGTTCTAATGAGGTCAAGAAGACGTAAGGCCAAGCCTCAGGCTTGTAAGATGCCTAAATGCTTTCTTGTAATATGGAAAAATTGTTGAATTTGGCTTAGGACTGATTGCTTTGTTAATAAAATGGACTCACTTTTTGCACCTGTGTTTTCCAAGGAATCGCAATTAGTTTATGTAACGAAGTGGGCACGAATATCTGAATTTGCCCACACAGTAATTCCTATCCTTAATGTGGAACAAACACTGGAAGAGTATGAACCACATCTCTCTGGCCTATGAGGGTTGCATATTACTTCATATAGTCCTTAATAAAGTAAATTGCTTTTACTATAATCAGTTGGTGAAGGGAAGTGTCTTCCAGAATGAGTTTCTGTGTCTACCTGTGTGTCAATTTCCCAGTGAATGATGATTGTATAAGATGAAATTCCATAAAGTCAAGTGCATATACACTGACTGTGGAAATTCACAATGAGTAATTATTGTCTAAGTGGCACAGTTGCAGAGAAATGTTTAGTGGCTATATTGAAACATATTATCAGCATGATACAGCAGAACAAAGCAAATTCAGTCTATGATCAGAAGTAATTTTGTATTAGACTTTTCAATCTTTTCCCCATTACTTTAGTTGCTGGGAAGGCATCTATTGGAATATTGTATACGGATTAGGACACTGAATCTACTCATCTAGAAAGATAATTGAGAAGAACAACAGAGCTATAAGGAGTTTGTAAAACAAAACATTTCAGGATAGGCTGAGAAGGCCTACTAAATGTGTTCAATTTAGTAAAGAAAAGAGTGAAAAAGAATATGCATCTTCAGATTTTTTAAAAGGAAAGTAATTATGAAGAGGAGAACAACCAGTTTTCTCCATGACCATGAAGATACAAAATAATGAGTTTAATTTCTAACAAGGAAGGACAGATATTTGGAAAACCTTCACAGCTGTATGGGCAAGTAGACGCTGCAAAAAATAACTGAGAGAGTTGGTGGGATCCTCTTCATAGTCTTTTTTTCCTGGTTCCTTAAGAAAATGAGGCCCATGCAGTCTTTGTCCCCAGTGGTTGACTCTAACCAAAACTGATATAGGTGAATAGGTTTTGTGAAAATTGGGCAGAACATAGAGACCCTATTAGGGGTCCTGCTTAGGGGAAAAATATCATTGTGCATATATGTCCTGTTGGGCACTAGAGAATCCACGTGGACAAGATGTCTTTAAAATACTTCAGCTACAGGAAAAGCTTCAACTGGAGCACGCAATAAAACATGGAATACATATCTGTTGGTATACAGGCTTTATTAGAAGTCTAGTTCATGAAACTGCTTGTTAGAAACAAATTAAGCTGATTGACATCTGTTACACTGATGTATATGCAATCCTTCCTGATTCAGAAGATGGTTATGAACTAGGAGCTTGTCCAGTCTGATACTATGGTTTCTTTGTTGGGGAATTAGTAATCTTAGCAGACATGGGATAAGCCCAGATAAGACTGAAAACAGTAAGTGGCACTACCTTCTCTATATATACGTGACAAAGAAGTTAGTATGGAGACATTTTTTGCTTGGCTGATCTATTATTTCTGCAAAAAAATGCATTTGTTTGTTTTTGCTGGGAAGTCTTGATGCATGTTAAAATGTTTCTGAAAATCCTGGTGAATCATTGCTCATCAGCAATAAAACTTCTGTTGACTGCACTGGGAATGAAATGCAGATGCTGTTGTGGTTGGAACAGTGAAAACTATTAAAAGCTAAAATAATTTTGTTTTGCCAGAATGACTTCTGAGTACAGATCCTTGAAAAGTCTTACATTTTATTTTAAAACATCAGCTTGTCATTATTTCATAAAGAAAACAGAAACTCCAACCACTTTTCTGAAGACTGATGCAACTGTATGAGCTTTAATTTTGCTAGTGATACTATTATAGTTTTCTTTTTCTTACATGAGAAGTCTTTTAATGTAGTTAAGAAGCTTTATTATAAGAATATAACATTTATTTTATGAATCATATAAGAATATATCTCATAGGATGGCTGGGGCTCTTATGTAAGATGTTTAGAAAGTGGGAGAGGGGTGATTTTCAAAGCCCTTTCTATTTGGCTTGGTCTGGAGTCAGAGCTTGAGCCTGGGCTTTCCCTTTTAGGGTGTCAGGGCAGATCACATGAAATGGAACAGCTTCAGCTGGACAGAGATTTCCCTGAGGAACCCATCATTTGATGGTTAGGGAGTCCTCCTGGTATGGAAAAGCGGGGTCTTCTGCTATGCAGAAACCAAGATTTAAATCTTGTCCTCCCATGACCTGGAATATGTTGCTTTCCACTATACTAGTAAGTGGCATCCCATTAGACTAGTAAGTGGCATGGGTACCTATCTGCTGGTAGAACCCACTGTATATCTGGTTGTCTTTCAGGGAAGGTGGGATTTAGTCACTGTGCAGGTAAGAGAAGCAGGCACTTGCCTCATTTGGGAATACCATGGGGGCATATGTGTGCACTGCTCAGCAGTGTCAGGACTGGAGGGATTTTTTTTTTTGATGAGTGAGAATCACCTGTGGAGGGGTAAGATTTTACATGTTTTGTGTTGTCTCAGTGCTGGAAATAAGAGCCCAATTTCATAGGAGGATTTAACTTCTTTCTTTCTTTCAACCTCCACATATTTGTGAATATTAGGAAAAACATCATAGTTAGTTAACATATTGACTGGTTTTTACTTAACCACAACTTCTGTCCTACATGCAAATTGTGCTTTAATTTTGACCATCAGTATCCACATGAGATGTTTCCATCAGCATCTACTGTAGGGCAGCTCAGTTGACCTGAGTAATGAAACAGTAGCTCACCTATTTTGTTCTCACACATTAGGACCAGTCAGCTTGCAAACTTCAGGCCATTGTTTGCTAGAAGGAATCAACAAAAGTATAGTAAATAAAATCTCTTAAAGATTCCATTCTAAATGTTTATAAAAGATGCAACTTGTATCCCCGTAATTTCTCTGAAAATTATCTTGTACTCAGAGATCAAGGGCTGAAAGTAGGGGGAGTAAACATTTTTTTAGTCAAGGGGCAGGGGGAAGAGGTTTAATCCCTGTTTTAAATGCTATGCGACTTAAAATATGGAGCCCCTATGGCACCTCTATAATACCACATAAAACTCGTGGTATTTTGGCTCATAATGGTGATTTGCACTACATTACTGGCAGTTTTACAGTTTAATGCTCTCACTATATTTAATGTGTGAACTGATAAGACTATAGAAAACCAGCATTATTTTGGTTTGGAGAAAGAATTTTTTTAAGCCTGGGAAGGGGAACATCTCTGATTCAATGAGAATTTCTTTGCTTTGCATAATGGGAGAGGACCTTTCACTTAATTACTGCTGGAAACTGTAAATGCTTAATTGACATAAAAAAGCCCAATATAGGCATTTTACATCTTTGCTTTTGATCTTTCCTGTGGGTGCATATTGCACATGTAATTTGAACATAATAACTAAAAGTCTCTGATGTGGATGTGTGCCAGTATGTGAGTACAGAGTTTGGTGCAGTATCAAAGAAAGGGATACAACCATTTCACTTATGAATAAATTAAGCATTTAATTAACACCTGGACTTTACATAAGACTTGTGAAACAATTAAATCTGCTGCTTTTCTGTAATGAACACAAGTGCTTTAAGTGAAATTATTGACCCCCCCCGTCGAGTTTGATTTTAAATAATGTATTTAACTTCAGACACAGGCTGCATTCAAATCCTTGAAACCCATCAAACTGTAAAAAGAGACTGGGCACTATTCCTTTCCCACTGAAGTTAAAGGAATAAGAGCTTTTCAGAGCTGGTTTGGGCACTTCATATTTTTTTGAGACACAAACTGTATTGGGACTGTAAGAAGAAACAGCCCTAATTAATACAATTTTTCTGTTTTCCCGTAGCAATTTATCCAGAAACAAGCTCTCAACTTTGTCCAAGAAGCCTTTTCGCCATCTGGGTTTGTCTGATCTGTAAGTTGTTATTTTTTAGAATAAATTTTATTTGTGGCTAGCAATGAAAGAACAGGACTTTGAAGTTTGTTATTTTGAAGCTACAGGTCCATCAAAGATTAGAAATTAAATTCCGATCCAAAGAAGGCAGCAAATATGTTGCCAGTAACATAAGTGCAGAGAGTTTTTAATTCCAGGCCAGATTAAGTGTATGTTTTAACATAAATTTATAGATCAAAATAGCCTTTTCCCTTCAAAATTAAAAAACTTTTTATGACATTATTTCACACAAAACTACTGGTGCTTGTATTAAATAATTGAGCTAGTAAAAAATACAGCCATCTACAGAACATAGAATCATAGAATGGTTTGGGTTGGAAGGGACCTTAAAGATCACCCAGTTCACACCCCTGCCATGGGCAGGGATACCTTCCACTAGATCAAGTTACTCAAAGCCCCATCCAACCTGGCCTTGAACACTTCCAATGATGGGGCATCCACAACTTCTCTGGGCAACTTGTTCCAGTGTCTCACCACACTCAGAGTAAAGAATTTCTTCCTAATATCTATTATAAAATCTACCCTCTTTTGGTTTAAAACTGTTATCCCTCATCCTATCACTACACTCCCTGATAAAGAGTCCCTCCCTGTCTTTCCTGTAGGCTCCTTTTAACTACTGGAAGGTTGCAAAAAGGTCTCCTCAGAGCCTTCTCTTCTCCAGGCTAAACAGCCACAACTTTCTCAGTCTGTCTTCATAGGGGAGGTGTTGCAGCCCTCTGATCATCTTTGTGGCCCTCCTCTGGACCCGCTCAAGCAGGTCCATGTCTTTCTTATGATGGGGGCCCCAGAGCTGGATGCAGTACTCCAGGTGGGATCTCACGAGAGTGAAGAAGAGGGGCAGAATCACCTCCCTCGATCTGCTGGCCACGCTTCTTTTGATGCAGCCCAGGATACGGTTGGCTTTCTGGGCTGCAAGCACATGTTGCCGGCTCATGTTGAGCTTCTCATCAACCAGTACCCTCAAGTCCTTCTCCTCAGGGCTGCTCTCAATCCACTCATCACCCAGCCTGTATTTGTGCTTGGGATTGCCCCAAACCATGTGGAGGACCTTGCACTTGGCCTTGTTAAAGTTCATGAGGTTTGCACAGGCCTACCTCTCCAGCCTGTCCAGGTCCCTCTGGATGGCATCCCTTCCCTCCAGCATGTCGAGTGCTACACACAGCTTGGTGTCGTCAGCAAACTTGCTGAGGGTGCACTCAATCCCACTGTCCATGTAGCTAAGATATTAAATAATACTGGTCCTGATACAGACCCCTGAGGAACACCACTCATCACTGGTCTCCCCCCAGACATCGAGCCGTTGAGCGCAACTCTTTGAGTGCAGCCATCCAGCCAATTTCTTATCCATCAAGCAGTCCACCCGTCAAATCCACATCTCTCCATTCTAGCGCCATTTTCAGATGAAGTCTTTATCTCTATTGGCTCCACAGCTGCTATGCTTGTGGTTGGCTATTGAACAATATTTTTGTTTTCTCAAATTCTTTGAGTTTCATTGTAATGCTTCATTTGGTAATGAACCATTTGTAAACATATATTTGTTGATTGTTTTAACATTACGTTTTTATTCTGGGGTCTTTCATGCAGAACTTCTATATTGGTATACATTCCAAAATTACATAATCAAAGGGTAAAAAAGGGGAAAAGAGGATGTAGCATGCCTGCATGGCAGATGTTGTTGTATCTTATTTGCTTTGTTAAATTTGGGGCTCACAGAAAAGGTAGAGTTTTTGAATGACTTTGTGATTGGGGGTATTGGCACAGATAATAAGGCAGGCAAAATTTGTCTTTTGTATAAAGCTCTGATTCATGGTTCTTCACACTGACTTCTCTCAGAAGAATTTCTAAGGCCTGGAATTGTGCTGCTGTGTTAAAAATGTAAGAGAAGTGGTTGTTTTATGCAGTCTTTGCTAATATGTGGGACTGCAGAGACACTGCAAGAGCTTTAGGAGGGACAGAGTTGCCGGGGGGGAAAAACAGAGGCTGCTCTCCTGGAGCTCAGAGCCAGGTCAGAAGTAGCCTGAAGCACCAGCCTAGGAATTGCAACACCAGCCTTGAAATCCTCAGCCTTTTCTGGTGTATGTTGTTATTTCAGCACATGAGAAATGAAGTGAACAAATCCCAACGCTGCAAAAAAGGTTATGTCCCTTAGGTATGTTTTGTTGATAACTAAGTTGGTATAATAATTTTATTTGCTGCCTAGGAAATATTGTTTGCTGGAATTTTCTTTCGTAACTTGGTGATTGCTGATCAATGATAGAAACTCTGATGGAAAGACTAGCTAGTTACAGAGCACTCCTGTTGCCATATGCCCTGCACGGGTTTGTTGCTTCTGAAGTCCCAGTTTCTTCATATGCCATATCCAGTCTGTGCCAAAAAGTCAATGTGATTGTGTATTTGGCTGTAACTTCTATATTTTGTAGTTGTATTTGCCCCCTGGACTGCAGAAATATAAGAATGAATATGCTCTAGCTCAAGAGATGTGTAAAAAAAAGAAGTGACAGCATTTTTAAAGGCATATTCTGCTCTCAGTTCTGTAGGCACTTTCTTGAAATTAGTCTGCTGCCTTTAAAAGATTTATTCTGAAGTACAGATCAGGCCATTATTGAACCTCTCCACCTCAGGTGAACAGTTTATTTTAGGTTGTGGGTGAAGTGGGTGCTTATTAGATTTTTGAAGGAGAACAAAGTCAAATCCCTACATACCTGTTCACTGAGATGATGTAAGAAATTGCTGATCTTTTTGAAGAAGTTGGTTTGCTCCTGGGCAGAAGGAAAGAAAAAAGGACTTGGGACAGAGAATGACAGAATCAAACATTATAAATATGTGACAGGAATCATGGGAATGAATTTGATGAGGTAGGGAAATAGCACTTATTTGCAAAATATCTGGCTGATGCAGAGTAGGTGCAAATACATTTGTATTGTTAATATAAGAATTAAATAATGGACATTCAGTGTCATGGGAGCAGAAGCAGAGGAAATGGTTACTGGGAGTGAGCAAGGCATGGAAAAATGGATGTTGTAAAGATTGAATTGATCCATTTGAAGTATGGAGGCAATATGTGATGGGGCCCAAATTAAGAGAGAGATA